AAGAAATAATTACACATATATATGACTAAAATAAATATTGTTTACAAATTTGTGACTAGTAACTAGAGTAGTAATGGAATTATAGTAATTTATATTCAATTTTTAAATTTAAGTTAGCATGACACTATAATGTACTAACTACTCCGATTAGTTATATTTGGGTAAATAAATTTTATTTCATTAATATTTTTGAAAAACCGTAACTAATTATGACGTTGGACACTAAATATAATTAGTTATGGGTTTTCAAAAACATTACGGAGTACTATAGTTCCATTTCTACTGTAGTTACTAGTCACAAACTTGTAAACAATATTTATTTTAGTCATACATGTGTAATTATTTCTTGAAATAATCCGTATGGAGATTGGAAAATAAGAAGGAAGTTAATAAGTCTTCAATTTTTTTTAAATTTATATATCTAATATTGGTGTCAAATGAAAGATAATAAAAAATTATAAATTTTGGTATATTTTTTATAAAAAGTGGAGCTAAAAAGAAAAAGTTATGGACTTCAAAGAAAAAAGGTATTTTTGTATTAAGGGGCCATACTTGTTTATTTTCTATTCATGCTATTACTGCGTGCTGTATAGTTAGCAGGAGAGAGTCGATCATTTGGCGACTTTGGTCTACTAGAGTTAGATCCAATTTATGTTTATCCGTTTAGAGATAAGACTAAGTAAGTGTGACACTCATATCTTGCTGTGTGTTTATCCGTTTGGAGCGTATTATATCTCGTTGAAAAGATAGATCGGAGCTCTAAAGCTATTGTTCCAACTTCATTTACAATGCATTATTTAAAAGTTGCAGATTAACCATATATTTACAAATGTTTCTGATTTCACTCCGAACTCGTGTAGAATTTGATGCGATCATATCTTGCTCTATTTTGTGCTGTTGAAAGCGTTTAATATGTCGTTGGAAAGATCTTACCGAGTTCTAAAACTTGTCTTCAGACGCTGATTTCAAAATATAATGGGATGATTGCCTAATTACTAAAATACACTGTATTTACGCTAAAAGTGCTCTATTTTCGCTGAAAACGCTAAAATAAGACTTTGGTCTACTAGAGTTAGATTCAGTATTATTTTGTTAAATAGTTTTATCCCATCCCTAATTTCGTAAATATTTTTTTTAATTAACATTAATCCGGGAAAAACTCTTAAAACAGGGACGAATAAATTTTAAGACAAAGAATATATAAATATAGAAAAGATAAAATGAAGAATTTCCCTTGTGAAAGCAGAAATGCCAAGAGAACCGCCATCTACGTCCGTTCTAACGATTCCCGCGGGAGCACTCACGCGGTTTCAGTTTTTTAACGGAGTTTCCTAGCCTTGGCATTGCCTTGTCCGTCTCGTCAACCCAAACGTGGAACGCCGTCGCCGTCAGTTCCTAAAGGACTGTTCACTCCTTGATAAACGCCGTCGCTCCCATCCACCAGGCAGGGAGTGATGTGTCATTTTCATTGACATGTAGCTAACAGAAAGTAGTTCAAACTAATTATGTACGTGTCAATTGAGCAAACTTGCCAACGCATAAAACTTTTGGTTTTCAAAATAAAAAGGGTAAATTCAAAGGTACCATACCTTTTTCCACATGAACCAATGAGAATGTAGCAGTTGAATTATTTAAATCTAAATTAAAAATGATAAAATGGTGTGGTCCAATCAAATGAATGGTAGGTACGGTATCCCATTTTTTAGAAGGGTACCGGAGTTGTCCGAAAAAATACTCCCTATCTCCGAAAAGGTTGCCCAAAGTTGACTTTCACGTGGATTAATAAAGAAAAAATTGTGTGGTTGAAATTTATGCAGAGGAGAAAGAATTAATTTTAGCCACATATTCCTTACTTTAAATGAAAATGTCAAATCTTTTTGGGACATCCAAAAAAGAAAATTTGACCAACCTTTTCGGGATGGAGGAAGTAAAAAATACTCCCTCCGTTCTAATTTGATTTTTCAAAATTTCTTATTTTGGTTGTCCAAAAATAGTTTTCTATTTTCTATTTTAAGTATGTAAATAAAATTAAAGTGACAAATATACCTTTACTTTTATTTTTTTCTATTAACTTAAAAGCATCAACTTTTTGGAAGATGGACAAAAGTGTGAAAAACAAACATCATTCATTGTCATTTATTAATCCTTGTAACGTTGTAATTCATTCGGGACGAAGAAGAAACGGATTTTGAGAAAACAGAAGAAGAAAACAAGTTACGCTTCAAATCCCAAAGATCTTACCTCATTCTTCCTAGAACCTTATGGAAAGAGAAGCGTTTCAAATCAGTACTGGCTTCTGATGCTTTAACTATGTGTATTTGTATACATCTTACCTATAAGGAACAATGCATTTACTACATGGAAATACTCCCTTTGTTCTTTATTACTCCCTCCGTCCCTAAATAAAAGCATCTGTTTCCTTTTCGGGTCGTCCCTAAATAAAAGTGTCCTTTCCTTTTTTTGGCAAACAAAACAGTGCAAAACAGTGCCAAACAGTGTCCAAACAGTGCCAAACAATACCAACCAAACCCACTTTTTTAAGATGTGTGTAAAATGAATGGATATTTTTATATAGGGACGGAGGGAGTAATGTATAGCATTTCTTTTTGGGATATTTTTAATTATTTGTGTCTCTTTTCCTTTTTGATAAGTTTTTTCAATCAAAATACCTTTATACCCTCAGTTTTATTACCATTACCTCTTTCTCTTTCCTACTTTTTCATTTACCCACAACTCACTACACCTTTTACACTACCTCTATTATTTTTCTATTAATAGAGAAAGAACGGAGAGAGTGTATTCGTAACATTGTGAACATTTGAAATTGATCACGTTTCTGTATATTTAGATAAAGGCAGAATAAAAATCATTTTGTCCGAAAATTTGCATCATTCATAAAATATACTCCTTCCGTCCCGAAATTATTTTCATTCTTTCTATTTCGATCCGTCCCAAACTTATCTCTTCCTTCCCTTTTTAATAAAGAACATGTGGTTCACAACCATTCTTACACATTTCTCTCTACTCTGCACAACTCCCCACCACACAAATCTCACTATCTTAATTCCCGTGCCCAGTCAAAACCGGAGTTAATTATGGGACGGAGGGAGTACCTAGTATTTGTGTGCTAAGTATATTCAGCAGATTCAGAGCCCGTTTGATGATTCCCTTTTCAGCTTATCAGACTTATCAGTCAGTTTTTTCACCAAACACGTAACTTTTGATTTCGTGTGCCGAATTGTGTTATAAGCAGAAAAAATAAGGTTGGAGTTACTTTTCTGACTGTATTGGCTGAAGTTAATGTAGAAGATCATTTTAACTATTTTATCATATAATTTTTTATTTTATTTATTAATAACAAATATTTTATTTTTTTTATTAATTAGCAAAATGAGACAATACAGCCATTTCAGCCATAACTTCATAAATTTCAGCAAAATCAGTCAATTCAGTCAATTTTAGTGCTAACTGGCTCTCAATACTTTCAAACCAGAAGTTCACCAATTTAAACAAATTCAACAGATTATTTGTTGCTAGAATGGCCTCATATAAGTTAAATACGTTGAATGTGCTGAAATCTTAAAATTTTGACACTTGAGTGGTTAAATTGGGGAGATATGTTGATTTTTGCAATAAAACACATTTCAATTCATTTTTAATGTGAAATAAAATTTGAGTTTTGTCTAGAACTTAATTAGTAAAGTTAATAAGTCAAACAAGGCTATGATGAACGCTTGATGTTTTTAATTAAGTTAATTCTAGTCTCAAATTAAATTGTTTTATAAATCAAACGTAATGACTAGATCAAAGTTAAAACATACTCCTCCCATCCCGAAAAAGTTGACCAATTTTCTTTTTTTGGATGCTCCCAAAAGATTTGTCATTTTCATTTAAAGTAAGAAATATGTTGCTAAAATTAATTCTCTCTCTTTGCACAAATTTCAACCACACAGTTTTTACTTTATTAATACACTTGAAAGTCAATTTTGACCAACCTTTTTGAAACGAAGGGAGTACTACATAATAAAGTAGATATATAAACGCGAGACAAAGAAAATATATGAAGCACGTCAGTGTGCGCTAAAAACATGTTGATCTAAAATATAAAAAAAAATTATTAGTGTTCATGTCACGTGTTTGGAGTTTCATATATTTTCTCTACACAAAAACAATTATTCGACCAAACTTAAAGCAATCATTTTTAGCCTAACCGAAATGAGTAGAGCACAAAATTAGATGACATCAAATGGAAAATTTGTGCGCAATTTAACCCGCACGGGTTGCTTAGTTGGTTCAGTGGTGGAAAATTTAGAACATTGACCAAGATTCGAATCTCGCAGCGATCGTGTGGAGGTTACAACTCTTACGTGTTGAACTGGACTTCTGGCGCGCACGAAGGTAATGCTTACTATCATTGAACTAACTCATTCACCGTAACTTACCTTGCTCACAACAAATCCTGTTAGGTTAAGTTGTGGAGGCCGTTGTGGTGGGGATTGGGAAAATTGTTGTGCGGTTTAAAGCTTTAAAATTTGGATTGTTATTGGGGACGTGGTGTAGGGAGAAACCACTACAATGACTCGCGTTTACATTACTTTATCCGCGGTGGGGCTATTCTCCGCCGTCCAAGCGTATCTTGAAAAGTGATCTGACGGCTCATGTGAACATCCACACACATCGTACGGTACTCCGCGTTCTCACAGATCTCAGCCCCCGATTTTTATTGTTTCGCTAAAATTCATGCTCTGACCATGCAGCCCCACAAGGGAATCTCGAATGAGGTCAATGGCACGGTAAATTTTGAAGTTTCTCAGGGGCCATTTGGGAACGTCGATGAGGACCGAAACGGTGCGTTTGGTTGAACGAACCTAACAACTGCCACACACACTTTCCTTCACACTTCTTTGCCTTTTACGGTTTACCAGCCAAGCGAAATTCATTTCGAAATTTGCCATTTTCAGTTTCGTATTAAAGACTCGTGTGTATAAATAGGGCCATACGCTTTTCTCTTTCTTCTTTTTCTTTCTTCGGTTTTCTAGAGCCATACTACTCTGTTTCCTCGGTTTTGCCCCTTCTCTCTCTAGACTATACGCCGGAAACTTCTCGTTTTCGCCGGACACTGCCTGTTCTCCGGCGAACTGATTTTTTGGATAGTGTCCCGTGTCCATTGTATCTCCTGCTTGCTGTTTAGGACTTGGCGCACTCGCTCGGCACAGAGTTCGTTGATTGCGCCGGCAAATCGTCTGATCTCTGATTTCGGCGCACTTCGCGCCGTTCCGAGATAATGTGGTGATTATAAGACCTTTTCGAGGCTTTTCTCGTGGTAGATCGTGGTCTAGACCGAGTATTGTGGCTTTTTATCTTTTGCATTTTTTGCGGTTTTTCAGCGAACTGCGATCCTAGAGGAAGACGAGTATTGAATTGCTTCGGAATGAGATGGTATGTGATATATTCATCTGTGAATATGAATCGGTGTGTACTTTGTAGTTCGGTTTTTGCTGTAGTCCTATTTTCGGAATAGTAGTAATACAACGAGTATGTTGGATCTCAAAAATCTTCTAAATTCTAATACAAGCATGTCCTCCGTGTTTCCAAAAACAAACTCTGGCTACTCTTCGTCTCGTTATGTACTTAGTTTCTAAAGTTGGAACATGGAAGTAGTTTTATTTTTTCGGAAACATTTGTTCAATTTTGACGGAAGTGCGAAAGCAGCACTAGTGCTCATGCACGAATTTGTAATTTTATTCGAGGAGCAGCATTCCTTAATTTTTTATAAGAAAAGTGCACTAATCTTTACTATTTGTAGAAATTAAAAACTTCAAGTTTTGTTCCCTCCTTTTCCAATGCTAACAGTAAAAAGTTTGCTTTGTCTATTACTCCTGCAAGTTTATTGTGACGGTAACCAAAGAGGTGAATAATTGTTCTTTCTTTTGGTGTCCATCTTCTCGAAATACGATTTCTATCACTTTTCCGGCCTCGTTCTCTACTTTTCACTAGGTATATAATGGTCATTGTTTGATATAGGTTTCTGCACAAATTAATTTTTCCTGCTGAATTTTAAGTAATGTATAGTTTTATAATCTGTATTTTCAATCAATTTCCTACCAACCTAGTTATGCTGACACTCTTTAAAAAGTGTTTGGTGTGTCTATTTAACCATTCCTGACTTGCTATGTTTTCTGTTTATGGCATTATTAATCAATTTTGTGCTTCTTGCTGAAATTTTCTATGTCTGCACAATTTATCTCTGCAAGCAAGAGTACATCTCATTTTTTATCCATCTATGGAAATGCCATTTACTCAACTACTGAAACCCTCCTAAGGTTGTAGAGAATGCAATCTGGTGTTATGCATACTTTGGGTTAAGGGGAAATGAGTTTTGTGTAGCTTTCTGCTCTGCTAAGGCATAACTTACCAAGCAGAGGTACAATTCATGAATTAAGGTTTAGCTTAAGTAGATGTAATTTGCATTGTGGGCACTTTAGAAAATGTTCTAATTTTCTAGCATATCTTCCTATAAAGGTTAACATAGTACAATACTACAATTAGAGAACTCTATAGAATTTGTGATTGATCTCAAGTCTTCATATCTTGTGATAGGTGGAAAGAAAAGTTCGCATGTCAAGAGAGGCTAAGTTAGAATTCTTGAAGCGCAAGAAGCTTCAGCGTTTGAATCTAGAAGCTGTGGGTGATATCCCATGTGTCAACCACATGATGAATAGAAGTGGAGGCGACGCTCTAAGACCAACTGCAGCTTGTGGTGTGAGAGTCCTTGGTAATTTGGACAATGATGTTTCATTGAATGGAAGAGATGTTTTCTGTAAGCATAGGGTGCAAAAGTTTGAGGCACCGGATCTTGATTGGATTGACAAAATCCCAGAGTGTCCAGTGTATTATCCAAACAAAGAAGAGTTTCAGGATCCTTTGGTTTATCTGCAAAAGATTGCTCCAGAAGCTTCCAAATATGGTAATTTGTGATTGATCTCAAGTCTTCATATCTTTACAGTCTACAGCAGTGGATGCCTTTAGAGTTTTGATTAGATTTGCTTTCCATGCATGATTGGGCCTTTTAAGGTGGCATTGGTTTATCCTGTGAAATTTAAAGAACAGGTTCTGCATCATTTTCAAAATTATTTGATGTTGGGTTTTATGATTAATTTTGGAACTTTGTTTAGGTATATGCAAGATAGTCTCTCCCGTCACTGCTTCTGTTCCTGCTGGTGTAGTTTTAGTGAATGAGAAAGCGGGGTTCAAATTTACTACTAGAGTGCAACCTTTTCGTTTAGCAGAATGGGATATGGAGGACAAGTTCACCTTTTTTATGAGTGGAAGGTTGGTAAATTATTCTTACTTGCATAAAAGAAATCAATCAATATTATGTTTATGGACGGACATCCTTTTTTCAGAAACTACACATTTCGTGATTTTGAGAAAATGGCGAACAAGTTTTTTTCTCAAAGATATTATAGTACTGGATGCCTCCCTCCTGCCTACTTGGAAAAAGAATTCTGGCATGAAATAGCTTGTGGAAAGACTGAGAGTGTTGAATATGCATGTGATGTTGATGGCAGTGCCTTTTCATCTTCTCCCAGTGATGAGCTTGCCAAAAGTAAATGGAACATGAAGGTGTCGATCTTATAACTAATTTATTATGATCTCATCATATTTTCTACTGATACACAGTCATCAAAATATATCCTATCATGGAGCTTAGCGACTGATTTTTTTTAAAATTGACAACAAAAATTGATGTTTATTAGTACAATTTTGGTACCACCCATTAATTGTGCACGGAATGGTGCCTGAATTCAGACACATCATCCTTTTTGTTTTAAAATTGTTTTTCTTGTGATACAGGGATTTTCTCGGCTGACCGAATCCATATTGCGACTTCTTGAAACAACAATCCCCGTAAATATGACAATTTTACTTTTTACTTTTTTTCTTAATATTAATTATTCTTGGTGAATTTTTTAAGTGTTTTAATTTGTCCTCCAGGGTGTTACTGAACCAATGCTTTATATTGGAATGCTATTTAGTATGTTTGCTTGGCACGTGGAAGACCATTACTTGTATAGGTAAGCTGTCTCCATGTTTTGGTCATGGTAACATTGGTAATATTTATGGTGCATATTCTGACTGATACCTACTTATTGGAATGATCATTCAACTGGCACATCTTTTGTAGTATAAATTACCACCACTGTGGGGCAGCAAAAACATGGTATGGAGTTCCTGGTCATGCAGCTGTTGATTTTGAGAAAGTTGTTAGAGAGCATGTTTACACTAATTGCATCTTATCAGCTGATGGAGAAGATGGTGCTTTCGATGTTCTTTTGGGAAAGACAACAATATTTCCTCCAAATATTTTGTTGGAACACGATGTTCCAGTGTATAAAGCAGTTCAAAGGCCTGGAGAATTTGTTATCACTTTTCCTAGGGCCTATCATGCTGGGTTTAGTCACGGTATGATAGAGTTCTCAATATAAACCCATGTCAATAAAAAAATCGATCAGTTATTTGAATGATATGCTGCCTTTTTTGATAATTTTTTATGATTTGTAGGCTTTAACTGTGGCGAGGCGGTGAATTTTGCAACTGCCGATTGGTTTCCAATGGGTTTAGTTGCTTGTCGGCGATATGCTCTCCTAGGAAGAGTGCCGATCCTTCCACATGAAGAACTTCTCTGCAAGGAAGCAGTGCTTCTTTCTAACAGCTCAGACCTGGGAAATGCTGATGTTCATTCCTTGGAAGACTTTAAATCACACAATAGTGTGAAGGTTTCATTCGTAAAATTAATGCGGTTTCTCCACCGCGCACGGTGGGCCCTCATGAAGTCAAAAGTGTGTTCAGGAACTTCATTGGTTTCTCATGGCACCATTCTTTGCAGCATATGTAAACGTGATTGTTATTTAGCATATATTAGCTGCAAATGCTGCTGGCATGTGGTGTGCCTCAGACACGGTAAGTTTAAATGAATGTTTATTATCTTTATACAGTTCCAAGTGTTTTGTGAAATCTTATTGGTTAGTTTTGAATCAGATCCTAGTTCAATTGAACTGCCATGTGGCAGCAGTAGAATTCTCTGTGTAAGGGAAGATATTGCAGAGAAGGAAGAAGTGGCTAAGAAGTTTGAGGAGGAAGGTGCTGTAATGCACGAAGTTCAAAACCTTAACAAAATTGATGATGATTTTTATGAACTTCCAAATTTGAACCATCAACATGAGGACAGTTTCTACTTGCCTTATTGCGATCTGAACCTAGAACTGACAGAGGAAACAGAGATTGCTAAAGAAGTGACAATTCATGATCCTCACAGTTCTAGTTCAGAGGAAAATGTGAGTATTCTATGCACTATTAGCCTCTTTTAATATTAATAATAATTAATATCATTTTTAGATATCTCATTTAAATCTAAAATATCCTTTTTTGCTGATGGTAGCAACAGGTGCATGAAAATACAGACTCAGGAAGAAGTTTCACTAAAAACCCTGCAAAAGAATCTTGTTCTGATGGCGATTCCGAGTCGGGAACATTCCGCGTGAAAAGACGGTCCAAGGTGGAGCAGAAACGCTGCAACCCTAGTTCTTCTAATGTGTACGAGGTAAGTTGGTTATTTGTAGACCTAATATAATAATGATCAAATTGAAAACTCGACAGTTGGTTATTTAATTCTAACTTGCAACATTATCTTTAGAGTTCGAAGAAACACCAGCCCGATAGATATGACAGGGAAGCCCAACAGTATGCTCAGGGAAATGAATATGGTAGAGGAGGTGATGCTGCGGCGAAAAAGAAGGCCAAGGTGACGAATGAAAGAGTGGAGCAGAAGAAGAGCAAGATGAATGGTGGGAGGGTGAGGTTGAAAGTCAGAGTAGGTCCGGCAACTTTATGATGATTCGAAGAAAGGTGGGTATATCTGACCTGGCTAACCAACACAACAGACGTGGCGTTCATTCCTTCTCAAAATTTGGATTATCTAACAAACAGTATAGTTAGTTACTTCTTCTCATCAATCATCCCGGAAGGAGCGCGGCAACAAACAGTAGAGGTTAAAAGTAGGTGCATTCTTTGTGCAGGATGACTGTCTGGCGGGCCACCAAATTGGGCCGTTGGCTTGAAAGTCTTGCCCTGTAATTTATACGTACTTGAGTTAGCCACCAGCTATTTGATTTGATGTTCAAATTAAAGCGCATTATTATTCTGTTATAAAAAATGTCTAACACTTCTTACTTCGCATTTCTTTTCTTACATCAATGCCAAATGTCCCCACCTTTTCATCCAGTCAAACTTCCACCCTAACTTTTAGCATATGTCGTGGAACAGTTGCCACGAGATCTTTGACTTTGATTCCGCTTTCGATATCTTTTTAACGTATCGAATCAGAATTTGAATTTTATGTTGTATACGACATTCTTTTCTTTTGTTTGGCATTGCTTCTTTATAAAATATACTCCCTCCGTCCCTAATAACTTTGCCATGTTTGACCGGTACGGGAAATAATAAAGTAAAAATTGTGTGATTGAGGTTTGTGCAGAGGAGAGAGAATGAACTGGAACCACAAATTATTTACTTAAAAGGAAAAGTGGTAAAGTTAATAGGACATCCAAAAAAGGAAAGTTGGCAAAGTTATAAGGGACGGAGGGAGTAGAATATTGTATAAAAGGATCATAACCGCACACTTATTGTACTACCTATAAAACAAAATTATTTTATGTTGCCAATATTATTAAAATGTGACTGAGTTAAGGAAAATAAGAAGACCCTCTAATCAATGGTGTTCCCCATTTTTTCATCTATGTAGATGTAGAATGTTTTTACTTGGATTGTAATTTGCCGGTTTGGTTTTGTTTAAGTCTTGTTTGGTCCGAAATGTTAAAGTCTTGTTTTACTTGGAGTGTTTAAAGTCTTGTTTGGTCCGAAATGGATTGGTTTGGTATGATAAAGATCCGTACCAAGCAATTTCCTAATGGATTTCCATCCTCCTAATGGATTTCATGCACATGGTCTTTTGGAATTATTACCCCGTTTTCCCGTACATATCCATAAGCATCAACAAAACTCATTGGGAGAAGAAAGAAGTTCTACAAAACTTTGTTTGGAGATGTCTGATCGTTGGCGGGAGAAGATCTAGAATGGGTCTAACCGTCTAAATTAGAATTAGCAAGTCAACGTTTTGGAGAAGACTTGGCCATTTGAAAAACACGGAATATATATGTGATAGTCTATTTCAGAAGACACCAAGTTTCAATTGAAATCATAGTATCAGTTTAAAAATAATGTATTTTATGTCTATTGCTCTTAAAGTGAACTGTAGTTCTAGAAACTACAAGTAGTCTATCAAGTAGCAATTTGCATGTAAATTGGACAGTTTAAAAAGGAGCATGCGCGAATTCACTGGGCGTGGGCCGCACAACATGGGTTAGGTGGAGCAAAACCAGTTCTGCTATTTCAGAGAACAAAAGCAAAAGTTGGAATGTTTGGCAGAAATTGCAGAAGTACTCTAATTTACTCCTACAAGCAGTTATTTTAGAAGTTGGGGAAACCAGCTTCTGAAAACTAATTCTGATTCTGCCTCTGCTTTAAAAAAGAAACATAAACATAATCAATTCGAAACACCCCCTAAATGATTGACAAACTTGCAAACTCCTAATTTAGAACTAGAGAGTAAGGGCTTGGGGCTCGGTAAGGGTGTGTTGTAATTGTATTAAATCCATTAATTGAACTTGGTGCACTTTACCTTTCCTACTACCTCTTCTTATAGCTTTTGCCTTCATTATTGCTTAAATCACTCACTAAACACACGAAATCGTTAAAAGATCCTACGCAAGTCTAACGAAAGCCTTTGGATCGCAAGGACTTGACCTCAACAATGCATTTATAACATCAAGGATGATAGTATTTAAAGTTGTTGATGTGGGCATACATTACTCAAATGATGGACATGTGGGAAGCCGGAGTTCACCTCTTTAACATGCTTTGAATTAGTAAGACTAAAATCTTTAATTAATAATATAACTCTAGAAAGGACACTGGAAAAATAAAGTTATAAAAGCATTTCACATTTTCACTATCGTCAACTTCTTGAGAAACACGTTTCGTGTACAACTTGATTCACATATTACGTAATATTTAAAACAATAAGAAGTAACATCACACATTCTGATTTTCTTCAATTAACATGCATCACTTTACACGTAGTATATAACAATTGACTGTTTAACAATAATTATACACACCTTGGACGAATTTAGTACTCCAAACTTTTTTATTCTTTCCTTCACATAAGTTTTCAAACTCTTTTCCTATATTAGTGCCACTATTCTCTACTAGAATTATTTTGCTCATGCAAAACTTTACTCTTCCTAATTTGGGGGGAGGGAGTATCAATTCAGACCAAATTTATTTTCATTTATAATTCTATATTGAATTATATATTTGAATATGTAACATTTTTAATTCTAGTAAACTAATTATCTTCGTTTTTTATTTGTTTGAGTAATTTCAAAGGCGGAGGGCCCCTCCTTTTAAAACTTCATCGACACCATGTTGATTCCGCATTATGCCATATATGTTACATGACTAGATTTATGATTGAACTGATTTCGATCCAGCCAGATTCAAATAATATAGTTCTGATCAGACTACACTAAATTTAAGTAATACTCCCTCCGTCCCACTAAGATTGTCCCATTTTACCTTTTCGAGAAGTTCCACTAAGATTGTCCCGTACCAAATTTGGTAAAGATCGTGTGCCTCTAAATCATTCTTACTTTATTCTTACATTATCAATTTAATATCAACCACACAAACTCACTTTTCTTAATAATCGTGTCACCTTATCTCGTTCCAATCTTACTGGGACGGAGGTAGTACTACGTACTAAATATACATTTATCGGCCGTTCACCAGATCTGACAAAATGTTCTTTTTTAAAAAAATTACATATATGATATGAGTGTCATATGAAAGATCATAAAAAATTATTTGATTTGATATTATTTTTCCCTCATCTTTTTTTTCCTAGTTTTTTTATCCTTATATATATATGCATTATTTGCAGCCTTTTTATTTTATCATTTTTATATATAATCATCTTTTTTATATTATCTTTTCATAATAGCTTATCTTTTTATCTTTATTCCTTCTTTTCCTTTTGGTTGTGATATCATGTATCGATTCATGTTAGCCGACCCCAATATCTTTTGGGACTAAGGCTTGGATGTAGTTGTTGTTGTTGTTGAGCAAAATTGGAAAAGTTATAACATTTTATAAAAAAAACGAATTATTTGCCACATGACACCAATAGTAAATGTACATTGATCACACGTTTATGAGACTAGACTTTTTATTAAACAGACTATGATATAACAAATGAGACATAAGCAATAGTAAACGTACATCCATTAGACGTTTACGAGACTAGACTTAAACCAAACTATAATATATTCCGTAATCCCCCCCCCCCCCCCCCCCGCAAATCATACATATCTAATATTGTTTGCATACTATGTCCAAATTGGTGTAAATATGGTCCTTAGAGGGTGAAATGTACAATATGGGCGACGAGTACATTTCACCTTTCAAAAGGACAACATTTATAGCAATTTGAACGATTCACATATGCGGTGACATTTATAATCTCATAAATATGAGTCTGACATTTCAATATGGTGACTATTTCAGAGACTAAAAATGCGGTTTCCCTTTTGGTAAAAATAAAAAAATGAAATAGTTGTCACTTTATAAAAAAAAAGTATTTGACATGTGGCAGCAAACTATTCGATTTGAGAACCATCTCCCTTAGCTTTATTATCATTGTATTGCAAACTACATTCGATCAGGGATCTTGAAGGATGAGGTGTCATCTTTTTTGTGTAAACCAGATGCATCTTATAACAAACAGATGGATTATTATAACTTTGGGTTGGTGAGTGTAGGCCAATGGATAGAATTGAACTCCGTGTCATCTTTTTACTATGTATTTAAACTGCACTCTTTGTTGCAGGCAGTTGTTCAATTGGTAATAGCAGCACTCTCATTTTTTGTAGCAGTGAAGACACAGACATTTGAAAAATGTGCTTTTTGCTCTGCTGCAATAGGCTTCATCTCTCTTATAATTGGAGAATTAGGTTTATATGATTTTTTATTCTCCCATGCTTGCCCTTCATAGGTAATGACATAATGGTTTTACAATTTTCATTTCCATTAGATTTTTGTGTGTGCTGAAGGTCGAAAGCGTAGCAGATCAAACTTTTTAAAGTTGTATGTGTTCGGATCATCAATAGCTGTGCTGCTTCCTGCTACATGTTTTTCCATGAGCCAGAATCATTTGGAGGTAAATATATGTGATTGTTTAATGCTCTGTACTCTAATATTTTAGTATTTGGAACAGTGTCTATGTAGCTAAGACATCTAAAAGCAATCTGAGCTAAATTACTTTGCAAAACATTCAATTTGATATATGATTTTATTCATATCTCAGAAGACCATATGTGAGAATGTTCTCTGACAAAATACAGATATATACATTATTATTCTATGATAGCTTAATTGAAAAGTAACTTTCTATTAAACCGCACGACTTAATTGAAAATAAGACTTATTCATTCGGTCAAGATTGACTTAATCATTAAGCCCTGATATATTACTCCTTCCCATTAAGACACTTATTAAACCAACTTTTAACACATTATGGAATAGATATATGTTAATAAGTGGTGTTACTCATTTACTAGATAACCCAAAAGAAACATTAAACAACCCCTACCCTCATTTAGCTGTTGCTATTATTTTCCTTATGGTGGTCCCATTACCTTGTGGGTGGAATTGCCAAAACATGAGAACTCCTCACTGATGGATGTTTGCATATTTTGAAATTACACGTTAGACAAAACCTTCAAGAACAAATCAAATAGTAATAACTCGAGTCATAATAAATTATTGAAACTATCCTTTATTTATTGTGTAAAAAATAGAATGACTACACAATTTAGAGAATAATTTTCATATTTTTATTTTTCTTCTCAAAAACCTACATTTGCAAATCAGTCCCTTCAACTTTGAAGGCTTAAAATACACCAATACCTGTGATCTATATTTTCTAAGACTGTCATGCCATCATATTCGTATCTGCGTGTCTGCATATCAGTGCGACACCGTACACGGATATGAAGTTGTGCACAGCAGTTGTCATAAAAGTTTGCCTACTATTGAAGTGCGGATATTAGAACTCTGTTTTCTGTTATGTCTTGGTGTTTCGCTTTTAGGTTCTTCAAACTTTCAATAGCTCGCTGCCATCAAATATTGAAGTCCTGAAGATTGCTGCTATAATACTTGGTGAGCTCTTTAAACTG